TACTGTTGCATGTTTTAATGGCAACTGGACGCGCACGCTCATGTACGTTGTTAGCTTTTGTCTCTTCCAATAAACATTAATTATTAAAGTGGGGTTAACTGCACTGAATGGAGTTGAATAGCTTGGTGGAATGCCTGCCTTCCAATCCGGTCCTGGGTTCAATTACTGTCAGTGCTGCAGGATTTTTTTCTCACGACAAAAAACAACTCCACTCCCTAAACCTCATATAGGCCTATTGAGATTTAGTTTGTGTAAAGCATCGTGGGTATAATGTATATTCTGTGTATGGGATTGTCGCCTACAATTAAAAGTAGGAGAGTGATACACTCACTATTAAAAATCCTTGATGCATCAGTTGTGCGCCTAAAATAAATAATAATAATATTAATAATAATAATAATAACAATAACAACAATAATAATAATAATAATAACAATAATAATAATAATAACAATAACAATAATAATAATAAACCTTTCCTATTAGTAGTAGTACTGTATCGGTACAAATACGATTCGATCATGGGATCGGCTCAATGACGTAACTAACAATAGGCCCTATTCGTTAACATTTACGTAAAGGTCGCGAAAACTCCCTAATGATGATGAAATAGTAATAATAACTTGATATGGTGATGTATGGACATATTCATAATGACGTATTTGAAAATGCCGCAATGATAAACAATGGATGACACAGGAATAAACCACTACATTTATTGGGCATCTAATCACCAATTAGTTCACTACACTTTGAAAGTATTAAATACATTTGAAAAATAATAAAAATCACATTAACCACCATCCCGCTGTAATAATAAGGTCTATTAAATAAACATTTGTTACGGTATATTCTACTGCAAGTTAGCGTGTACATACAACACAATTGCTGTTAATTTCAAAACAATAGTTGTTTCTCGGAGTTTATTTTGAAACCATCATAAAATACAAATGGTAACAAAATCAGAGTTTTACAGGAATACTAGATACAACTAGGCAAGCCAAGTTATTGGCTGCCAAGGACGGTCAAGAGCGCCACTGCGCCGGGATTGGCCAGAGCATTGTCAATCATACCTCGCAAATTTTCCGCGCAAATTCGAATATCTTGTTTCAAATGAAGTATTGTGATCCCGATATTTCGATTTCGACGTCAAACATTTAAATAAATGCGCGCTTTTATAATTGTCCTCGATTTGAAAAAAAAATACAATTTGTATATTTCACCCGCTATAACTACATATTTATTTGTCTATTTTATTTTGTGCACCCTTAATAATCGTCACGAAAATGCTATGTTGACAAATAGGCATTCAACCGGCATCTACGTCAAATGTCTTTAAGTGATCAGAACCCGTATTTGTTTTTCTGGTTCCCGGTATGGCAAATCGCTACTCTTGCCAACATAGTGATTTCATCAAATTACTTTAAGACTAGTAGGCCCTACTCTACATAACCTCAATGTATTCCAACCGCAAACATTTGAAGCTTTACTTTTATTCGCCCAGGAAATTGGAATGAAATGGCACGCATTTGAATGTTTGACAAGTCCAAATTCGAAAATTGGGGGTGCACAATTATTTTTTCAATTGAAACAAAAATTGCGCGATGTATGACGCTGCTCCAGCCAATCTCGGCACAATGGTGCTCCTGCGCACGCGTGTACGCGGCCATTTTTTTTAAAGGCATAGTGCTTTCTGGCGTTTGTCTTTTGCTAGCACTGACGTAATTTTGTTGGTAAAGCTTCTAAATCTCACGTGGATCAGAATACACTGAAGTTAGCATTCTATTATTATTCTTGCTCTAAATATAGAAACTGATCCATATTGACAAACATGTACCGTACTCAAAATTACAAATCCAAATATTAAAATAGTACACAGAGCTAATGATATAAATTGAAAACACTAAGCTGTATATGGCAAATGCATATCATTAAAACTACAGTCTAAAGGCCTGTTTACACTTCAACGATAACGATAAAAAAAAAGCTAAAAAGCGACTGTTCATAGAGAAAACAAATGAAATAAGAGTTTTTAAAGTTAAAAGTTTTTACCCTAGGACGATTCGATAACCATTTATCGTGTATGCAATAACAGAATATTTTAACAAATCAAGTCAGATGACGTCATAATCATAGACAAACGATAAAATCGTTGCTACTACGACGATTTTAATGTTTTCCATGATTATGACGTCATCTGATTTGATTTGTCAAAATATGTTGTTATCGCATAACTGATAAATCGTTATTGAATCGTTCTAGTGTAAAAACTTCTCTTATTTCTTTTATTTTCTATATGAACAATTGCTTTTTAGCTTTTTTTTTTATTGTTATCGTTGAAGTATAAACAGGCTTTAAGCCTTCTATTTAAACACAATTCTATAGGCCTAAACAAAAATAATGTATTTTAAAGAATATGGAGAACCCAGAAGCTTCTGTAGTAATATTCAAAATTTTGCTAGAATGTGTGTAGATACAATATTCACAATTATGCTTTAATAATCTAATACAATAAGCAATGCATAATTGATTAAGAAATTGAAAATAACAATGAACAACACTTAATGCGGAGACGTTTGGATAGGCCTAGCGGCAAATATTCCTAATTGGAGACATTTTACCCTTTAATGGTATACAACTGGCACGTATACTAGTTCTGTAGATTACCAGTGGCAAATATGCATCACAACATCAATAATAGGATTCAATGGTCAATAACAATAAAATATGAATTTTATATAGTGGTACTAGTAATTCTTTAAAAAAAAAAAAATCTTTACAATGAGTATAATCGCAACAAGCTATAGAATTTCAAAAAGTTTTCGAAATCGCAACATAACATACAGTACGTAAATTTGCTGAATTTCTACATTATTTACTGGCACAAAGAATCGGTTAGAATTGCATCATGGACAAGCTGACGGTTAGTGCTGCCTTAGTGTTTGTGAGCGACTAAATCATTCGAGCGTGTAGGGGCGTGCAATGCGTTGAATGACGATACCATAGATAAAACCTTTGAAATCAGTGTACCTATGTTTGCCTTGGTTAGTGTCACATTATGAACACACTTCTTTGCATATGGTAGAAGTGGTTTGGCACAGCAGTTGAGGTTCTGCTCCTCAACCTTGAAGTCAAAGGTTCAATCCCTTGCTGTGTATTTTGCTCGAGTCCATAGGCAAGGCTCTTTGCCTACGTTTGTCTCTCTACCATCCTGTAGTACAAATGGACACTTGGAATGGTTCAAACACAAAATGCGATGATTAGACCTGCAACATTATGTAATTCTCCCCAGGGACCTGAGTATGTGTTCTATAGCGCTTGATCCAATGACTGGGCGTAATAATGTTAAACACATAGAAGCCTCTACAATATGCACTCTATAAATTTACTATTATTATCATTATTAGAATATTACACACGCAAACATTTTGCAAAGTAAAGTTGTTTAATTTTGACAGATAACATTTATGTTGTGATATACAGACAGAAGAAATCCAACCACTGTATATAAGTGTTTATCTATGTGATTTAAGGATTAAAATCGACAAAACATGCATGATAAGAAAAAAGACTGAAATATTTTATATGTATTATCAAGGAGGATACAAACATATATATACATTAAGTTTTCATAAATGCACAACGTATCTCTTATACACATCACAACGTATGTATTTGATTTATAAAGCTCAATTTTAGACATCTACTAATTTTATTATTGATTAACATCTAGGCCTAATTTGCTAACTAATGTACAAGAATGGGTGATCTATCCTAGTAAACATATATGTAGGTTATTGCACAATAACATATATCTAACACCGACATAAAACTTATAATTATAAAAAATGCATAACATTTATAAATTCCCGTGATTAAACAAAGTAACAATCCAATGCACCCAATTACAAATTTTATGAAAGTGAATAAAAAATTACAGATAACAATCACCAGACTAAAGTTTAAAATTGTATAGAAAGAATGACGTTTCCGTCGTAGAATTACAATCGAAGGTAAAAATTGTCATTGAATCATGCCTAAGAAAAATTTGGCACATATATTCACAGATATGTATTTAATTATAATGCACATGGCAGAGGTCAAGATTATATGAAATTAATATATGACACTTGTACATTTAACGAATGGGACTTTGGGAACCATATGGAAATAAGTAGTTGCTACTATATGGATTATCCTATTAATCAGGGTTGTTTGTTGCACTTGCACTGCGTGCATTGTTGCTTGTTGTTTTAATGTTGTTTGTCGATCCAGTTTTACCTGATTAATGAATAAATTCAATTCAATTCAAAAAGCCAGACACCTGTATTTACAGAGCACATGCTGAAGCTAGACACTTGTGCGAATTGAACGAATGTGGCACAGCCAGACACCTGTATTTACAGAGCACATGCTGAAGCACCTGTACTTCTAATGCATGTGACATTTTTACTTACTGCATAGGCAAAGCCAGACACCTGTCCTCTGTACAATGCAGATTGCAAATGTCAACATTTTACATAAACTGCATATGGCAAAGTCAGACACATGTAATTTCAATGCATGTGACATAGCCCACCGGTACCTTTAATACATGCGGCAAAGCTCAAAACATGTTGCACATGACTAGCAAAGCCACTACAGTTCTTGATGAATAGGAATATTTTATTATATTCCTTATATACCTCATTTCCATGTGTGTTGTCTGTCTTGCTGAACAAAATGAACTTATAATTATTTGAATACAGTAACAGTCAATAACTATATAATAGTTGATTAAAATGTGGTACTATCATTAGCTCCACTATAGAATTAAAAATATAACATTAACATTTTATCTGCTAAATAATTTTAAAATACCAAAAATATTAATTAGATAATAATAAATTCACTTTGTATCTCTACAAAATGAATGTATTACCCGTAGGTTCCTAATTCGAGACTATTTTACCATTTAATGGTATACAACTGGCACGTATACTAGTTCTGTAGATTACCAGTAATGTAATATAACTGAAATTGTTGCTGGTTAAACAAGGAGTAGGAAATTGTGGTTTTTTTTTTTTAAACTGTCCAATTAGATCCATACAAAAAATAGTCATTTAACAAAAAATAACTTTTCTCTCTTAAAAATTAACAGAAAATTATTGATACTTAAATGGTCCCTAGAAATTTGTTATCAAGGTATGTTGAGTAAAATTGGTCTTCAACATTGGAATTTAAATGATATGGTCTTCAATGTATGTTACTTTTTAACTGCATAGTTTCTGCAATAGGGTATACAGTACTTCCTGGAAAGCTCTAGAATTCTTTCCTCTCCTTAACTTCATCAAACACTATTTGTTTTAAATAGGAAACCTTAGAACATAACTAATTATAAGGCAACTTGGAACTGATTGAATGTGTCAAGTTGAATAGCTGAGCATGGTGACCATCAGGTATGTTGCCTTGTTGATTGTAGCCTAGCGACGTCCTATAAATTAATGATTTCATAGGCCTGCAGACTGGATAGAAGAACGTACATAAACCAGAGGAACACGAGGAAGGCTCCGCTCATGTAACGGGTTGGCATTGGACCTCCAAGCTCAGCCTTGCCAAACGGTTCAAGGAAACGACGAGCTGCGATTAACGACACACACAGCAAGGCACAGATGGTATAAACAACCACGCTTACACCGAGGGATCCAGCTGGTACACAGAAATCTTGACCCTTCAAATTGATAGTAAAATGAAATCTTAAATTACAACATCATATTTATAACATTTTTCTTTTAAATACAAAATTACAATATTTTCATAGAAGCTTTAAACCAAAGACTCAGTGATCTGTTAATTTACCAAAGGGAATTTTTCTAAATCTAGATTTACACTAGACACGATAACGACACGACAATGACATATCATCACATAGTTTGTATTCTTCAACACTGCATGCATCTGTAGCATGTTGTAATCGTGTCTAGTGTAAATGTGTCGTACGACAAATCCAGCTCTGCTCCTTGTGAGTGCTAGGCAACACAATGCAGTCCGCTGATTGCCGGTGGCAACCTAAATGGATCTTCATTAAAAACGATCTATTGCATGAGCGTCATGGCTTTGTGTTCTCCATAGAATCGCATCGGCCAATGACCGTCGAGAGCAGTTAGTGCCTGGCTGTACCTATTACCAGAACTTCTTGTATCCACGTAAATTATACACAAATGCTGGGCCAGGCCCCTGGAAACCCACACTGGAGTGACACCCGACTGAACTACAACATTTAACCGATACAAGTAGCCACAAACATGTTTCTTTAACTTGCCTAACTCTCAATTTGAGCGACTATAGACCCCAATTAAAATCTGACGCTAGGTGGATTTGAACCAGGGTCCACAGCGCAAGGAGCAGGAGCATTATGTCAGTCAAATGCTCAGCGTAAATTAAATAGATATGTACTGTATATTGAAAAAATATTTAAAATGGAATATACCTTTGAGGACCAGTATATGGCTGCGATTACCCAAGGTGTCCCAAGACCAAGAAATACGTTGACTGAGTTACTTCCAGTGACGTTGCCGATGGCCGCATCTGCATACTTCTCGTTGTTGGCAGCAGTTTTACTTGCGAAAAGATCCGGTAAACTGGTTCCAAGTGCAACAAACGTGATAGCTGTCACGCTGTCCTTTATTCCAACAATGCAGCCGAAGATGGATGCTAAGTCTCCAATGATGGCTGTGAGAAGACCGATGAAGGCAAGTGCCACGACGAATGTAATCCATCCTCCAGAGTTCAGAAAACTTGGAGGTGGGATGATGGCAAAAATAACCTATAAATAACAGAAATAATACAAATGACAACACAAGTAATGGATTATATAAGATTACCTCAATAACCGACAAAAGGCTGAGTCGAATGGCCGAGCAGTTATGGCAGTTGTGCCACAAAGTACAGCCATAATATCGGCACTGGTTCGAACGACATGCTCGCCGATGGTTCTGGTGGTGGAACAAGTCTTCTCAGATAAGGATTATAAACCGTAGGCCCAGTGTACACAATCTGGCTCATGTGTACATTAAAGAACCCAGTACATCTTTTCGAGAGGAGTGAGAGGAGTGGGGGTTACCCCGGTACCCCGGTGTACCGGTCCATACAGCACCTGTTGTAGACAGACGAAGAGTAGCTGGTACCGATTACTAGGTAGCTCAGACATGAAGACACCCTTACAGGAGAAGCAAGTTACTGTACTTCGGTATAAAGCGCTAAATAAATCGAACTAAATTACATTCCATTGGGGTTTTCTGCCATGGCCATTAGTTAAGCAGTACACTGGCAGACAATCCTCTATTCTTTTCCAAAGAGTGTACTATTACTTATACATGGGCCATATTTAACATGGGACCAACGTCTCATGTTAAAGTCTGTGTGCGATTAAATATATTACACTTCAGCCCTCCAACTGAAACACAAGGCAAGAAGTGGCTAGCACACAGGGACCAAGGTTACTGAATGAGAAGATCTTCATGATTCAACACATGTCCATGAGCCTAAAGGGCAAGAGATGACTAAAGTATCATTGTACCTTCCATCCGAATGTCAGAAGATGCGTGATATAGTCTCCGAATGTGGCATTCTCAACATCGCCACCATTCACGTTCATAGCATCTACAAACTGGTCGCCGTAGGATGAGTTGCCAAGTTTCAATCGGTCCATGTTGATATGTGTGATGTTTACCACACGGTCCAGGATCGTCTTATAATCTATCAATTGATCAAAAGTTATCAATAATCAATTATCATTATATCATCACGATTATTCACATTATTATCATTAACAACTGACGCTAGCTCACATAGCTTGACAAGGTTATGTTGATAACATCGACCAAAGCTTGACAGCAAGTTAACATCCACTGTGCTTGTTTATTAACGATTAAACAGTCCTACAACATTAATAAGTCTTCTACACACTTTCGTGGGTTATCCTTGGTGTTTACACCGAATAAATCCAATCCAATAAAGCAAACCAGACGAAACTATTCAAATATGATTATTAAATAACTGTTCATTTGTATGGGAATATGCAAGTCACAGCACCTTAGTGAAGTAATGTTCCTACCAAATGATGGAAGTGTGGTACGTGGGTCGTTATGACCTTGGTGGCTTTATCGTTTCCTACCCCTTAATGTACAGCTGATAAAGGTAAGGTATGTGGATCATAGGACATTAGTAATGCCCCTAATCTATGATGCATAATTATTCTTTTTTTCTCTTTGTCACTTCATAGCAACTATTGTCCTGCACCCAGACAGGAAAGAATTAAAACAAATTTTCAGTAAAAATGACAATTAAAACTATAGGCTACAAATGGGTAAATAATTTAATCTGGTTTTTGATAGTTCAATAAACACAAAATCTCTTTGCGTTAAACAAATGCAACTTACTGTTAACTACGACAGATTCTGATGAAGTCTGACTGGTAGGCAGGTGAAACCAAGTTGCATTGGTTTTAAAAACGCAAAGAATTTTGCTATTTATAGGATACAAAAATCAAAATGGATTCTTACCGTCATCGTTAATGATAGTAACAACTGTTTTTTTCAATCGTCCAAGCTGAGCGCCTCCAGTTGGGTCGAACAGCTCCACTTGAAAACTTTCATCTTTCTCATATTCTTGGTCATCGATAATTGGGATATTGATGCTCTTCTCCCTCTCGCCGTGCTCAAACACGAGCGTACCTTCGCCGCCTTCAAAATCTTTACCATTGACTGCTTCAATATCTTTTGTCCGCCAGGTTACCTCGATCCTTCCATCGCATCCGTTCAGACGCTGGACGGGCAACTCTGCATTTCCGATGTTCTCCGTTACCAGGAAACTAGTCTTAGCAAACTCCAATGTGCCAGGCTCTGGTAGTTAAGGAAATAATTTAAATATCGTATAATTGATGAAGAAAGCAAATTAAACAAACTTGGTTTACCTGATGGGGCATTATTTATATATTCTTATTTAATGAATTATAATATTCCAATCACTTTTTTGTTGATGAAGCAACAATTAAAGAAATAAACTTCAGCTAATCAATGCCACCTGTTTCTGCCTTAAACAGCTTATCAACATGTGATTACTATTTCCTCAAATTTGTAATTAGAAATTATATTCATTCAGGGTTTTGAATTTTATTAATACTGTAGACTTTTTCTCTATTTAATAAATCTTGTTAATTTATATTCAATTAATAAATTTGAATACACAAAGAGGCTTTAATAAATTAAAATATCATCATAAAGTATGACCAATGTTGAAACTGCCAATGTAAACAATATCCAGATCCAATAACAATAATAAAAATAATATTAACAATTAGAAAAGTATAAAATAAATCATAATTATAACACCTTTGATATTAATTTAATATTCTAATTATTTATATGATAATTTAAGTAACGTAAGTTACAGCTTAGAAAAAGTACAGTAGCCTATAAAATATAATCCTGCTTAAACTTTTAAAGGATGGCTGTTGCATTAGAAATGAATACCCTTTTGACAGATAAATATTCAGTGTAAGATAAATACATTTCATGAACGACATCAATCAATCTAAATTGACTAGTTCTTAAATAATAAGACATACTTATCATTCACAACTGATTGGTTATATGAGTAATTATTTAATTCATTTAACCAATAGTAGATCAGGAGAGAAATTTCTATAAATTTTACAATTTTTTTACAATTAGCAATTTTATAGCTATGAATTAAAGATGCTGGCCTCATGGTAGAGCAATCATAATATGCTGATAGGTAATTAACTAATAATATAGTGTATGGGAACAAAAGGGAAAAGAGGTGCACACCTAAAAGGCAACATTAATATAAGAGAGAACGAAAGAGCACATCGGAGAGATTACATTATTATAGGAACAAGAAAAGATGGAGTGGACCTGAAATTGATATATTATGAGAGCCAGATGAGAGGCAGATAGAAAAGATGATGGCAGGAGTCTGAAGACTACATGTTGGAGGATAGTAGAAAAGAGCAGAGTAGGCCTCTTGGAAAAAGAAAAAAATAAATGTCAGTGTGAAGTAAATACAAGGCATGAATGATTTGACATGAATCTTACCATCATCATTAATTATGGTGACTTCAGTAATTGGGTGTTTGCCGAGCACAATACCACTAGGTTTTTCCTCCAGGGTCATCTTGACGAAGAACGTCTCATCTGGTTCCCACTCATTGTCATCAATGATCTCGATTTCAATGAACTTTTCAGTCTCCTCGGGCTCAAAGACCAATGTGCCCTTCTGGGGAACATAATCCGACTCAGACTCTGCCGTACCGTCTAACGTCTCATACCTGTGTGGAATAATATTCAAAATATTTATATCTAATGACATGTAATGAAATTTGTCATCCATGGTGATATACATAAAGAGCATATATATTTCAAGATGTAACTGAAATTGAAGCTTGTAGAAAAGCATCTTATTTCTTTCAGTTAAATACCAAATTTTCTTACTGTACAACTAGCAATGAAACAAAAAGTTTTTACATAGTGCAATCTGCAGACGTAATTATGATAAGAATTAGTAAGGAAAAAAGTTATCATAGCAAATGTTCCATTATTTGTCATTTCCTGGTGATACACTTGACTAAAATTTGAAAAAGTGACTACATTGTCATTTAATAACTAAACAAACGTACCAAAACAGTGTTGAATTTTCACTAAGCGCTCAACTCGGCGACATAAGCTCTTGAAAGTTGAGTGTAAATGTAATTTTTAAAATTTTCTATTCAATTATTCATTCTACAGGATTTAGTTACCCTCTACAAATGAAGTTATAAAAATGGATTGTGGAGATATTTTAAAAGATTAACTGCTAAAACCTATTTGAAATTGTGGTATTGTAAACAATAAATTATTGTTATTTATTGTGTAGATAATTTTGGTATTGTAATTTATCTACACAATAAATAACAATAATTTATGCTATTACAAAAAGCTGTAGGATGTCTTACTATTATGATGTCCACCGGGGTTAAACATTTCTACCTTTCAATATGCACACACATTATCAACCAAGCAGAAGATGTTAATGGTAAAATAACACACACATTATAGAAAGCGCAGATTAAGTGTTAAAAGATCAGATATTTATCGAAATATATGAAAGAAAAAATTTGACTTGCAATACCAATAAATTAACAACTAATATTGCCTTGACCTGTAATCTCATTAAAATTAGCAATTAAATGTTTTATTTATAATAGAGTTTATCTTTTAGGGTCAAAACATTGTCGGTTGATTACTGTGTGAAGGTTGGATTTAACTTCATCTGACTATGTGACGGAAAAGATAGTGAAAGGGACATTATTATGACAAAATTTTTGTTTAATAAATGACATTTTGAAGTGATGTCAGCCGCAAACCCTAAGACCAGTTGGAGACAAGCAGTGAATAAAGTACACTTTCATAAATGAAATCAGGCAACAAAAGAATTATATTACGCGACCTTTATCACAAGTTTTTAATTATTTTATATATTGCAGGAGTTATCGGTCTGATCGTATAGAACTTGGAATAACCATTTGCAATTATAAATCATTTAAATTCTATGAATAAATATAATTTAAAGATTCTCCTGAAGATATATAAACAGCACAATCTATTTAAAGCATGTACATTAGATACTTTCAGTTCTTCTCGAATTTTATGTGGTGTATCGCAAATCTATACTAAATTGCATAAAAATTCTTAAGTGAAATTATTTGCGCCAATAATACAAAACATTAACAATATGCATACTTTTGTTGAATTTAGCTACATGATACAAGGATGACATTATTTCATAATCATAAGTAAGGTAAGGTAAGGCAAAGGTCGAAAACCCAAATCTCTGGGCTCGCAGTCTGGAGTGCCCGTCTCTCTTTCTTCAGACTGTGCAAGTACCCATTGATACTCCTCAATAGAGGGAGACAAATGAAAATAAAGTGTCTTGCCTATTAAGGACACAAGCGACTTGCACAGCGAGGGTTTTGAACCCCTGACCTCACGGTTGAGAGTCTGAGCCGCAACCGTTGTGGCAACTGCTTCATACTGTACAGTAGTCATAAATTTACAGATATTAAAATTAAATTAATGCGAAAATTAAATTAATGCGAAAATTAAATAAAGTGTTTTATTTTCTTCTTGCATTTTAATAGTCATCTCCAAAGTAGTTGAACCATTATGTTTGATAAATAATTAATAACCATTGATCTTCATGACCACCTTTGAATTTGAATTCAAAATTTCAATAAACCTTTCAATAAAATGTTTTATAGTGCATAATCATGGGTCTGTTCCAATAACAAAATGTAAACAATGAAATAGTTGGATAAGAAATCTAAAATAAAATAGAAAAAGAATAAAGAAAATGGAATGATGAGATAGTTGAGATAAAACTTGGTTGATATTTAAATAATTAAACATTAACATAATAAAAAAAATAAATAATAAAAATTAATCATAAAATTAACCTGTTTTTGTTTTGTTTTGCTCACTGTTTTAATCATCGTTTCTTTTAATTCTGTTCCGACTTTTGCTTTTAAGCTGAAACGTGCTGAAAAGACCAGTTAGGCCATATTAAAAAATAAACAGTTTCTTGCCTAATAAAAAAAAATGTTTAGAGGAGGCTGAATCAACTTATACTTATTAACGCAAAGATATCTACCATATACATGCCCCCACACAACCACGCAATAAATTATCTAGGCCAAGGCCAATACATCAATCAATCAATCAATTGCTAAAGATATATTGCACCAACAATTCAACAGTTCATGACTTTTGGCAGAAAAACTCAGAATGCCTTACACGAACTCAAATGGCAAGGAATATAAAATAAGACCGTAAGCTCTTCTCAGGAATGAAAGACGAGTTTGAAAACTGAAACACACATATTTATTTACTTGGCATTAGTTATTGTATACAGATTATCATCAATAAAATTATGAGGCACCATGTGTTCACTTATTATTTAGCAAAAATACATTATATATTATTATTATTTTTTTTTTTTGGCCTCTGTTGTGCAGATTACCATTAATAAAGTATGATGTATTGTAGTATTAAATTAAGATGCAAGCAATTATTGATGATGGCTGAGATCTTTACATCTCAGCCTCAAAAAAATTGATCTTCATCATGCGAAGCAATTTAGCAATCTAAACGAAAAGATTATTAAAAGACATTTATGGAATATTGTTGTATACTGTACAGTACAATGTTATTAAAATGTATTCATAAAAAGCAATAGAGAAATGGGTGGTAATGATAATGATGATGATCATGCAACTGGAGGCTTAATATTAAAACCAACTGAAACTGAGTAGTTAATATTCAAGCTATTGAAAGAAGTATAATTTACATTTTTATATCAAGTTGTAAAGAGGTTGTCTTTATGTAAATTTAGGGCCGAGGACTATAGTTTTACATAAAATACACTAGATACATATTGTACTTTCTTTGTGATTATTGTAACAAAGAACAAATAAAAATCCATTTTTCTAATGCTAGACTACAATGATACAGTAATTATGACTTTATAACAAGTATTAGATATAGACCCTACATCATAAGTTCAGTAAATATAATTCAAATGAAATATTTAAAATTCATGCACTATAAAGATAATCATAATATGGAGAAAATACTGTAAATGAAAGAACAATATGCGAACAGTTTCCTAAAATTCTAGAAGCTGCTAGTTACCTGGTCACTATTAAGGGAGGTGGTTCCAGCTCATAAAATGAGGCTTTATTTATACCTTGTTTAGCAAACCAACCGCCCAACAATAATGATGATTTCAAATAAAAATAAAATTTTACTATTGGCCAATTAGCGCACTTGCCGCCATAAAAAATTAATGGAAATTTCAGAAAAAATAAAGTTTTTCTTTATTTTTATTACGCCCACCGCTGCCGTAAAATCTCCAAAAATAAAATATGTATATTTCTTCCTAATTATAAAATTTGTCACCCAAGCTAAAATATCTGAATGATGACTTATTGGTTTGTAGCAATTACAAGCTCAATTTTATCAAACCACTTAATGTGAATTTGTAAAAATCACAAATATCTTATATAATCTGTTTATTATTACCGTATATTCCTTTGATAAATAGTGAATCTATTGATTTGAAGTGTGGGGAGTGATCAACTATATATTCTATATTAGATGAGACTTTTTTAATACCTTGTTTAGCGAATCCGCCCACTGCAAATATTGTGATTCCAAATAAAAATACAATTTTATTTTTGGCCAATTAGCGCACCTGCCGGAACAAAAAAGTGTAAATTCTAGAAAAATAAAAATTTTTCTTTATATTTATTACGCCCTCTGCTGCCTTGAAGTCTCCAAAGAAAAGATATGTATATTTCCTCCTAATATATAAATTTGAAGCATTTACCATCCTATTTTATATTCACCAATAAAATTTTATTTTTATTTTCTCCTCCGTCTGAATGTTTTTGGCAAAATTATTTGCTAAATAAGAAAACAAAACTTTATTTTCATTACACCCTCCAATAATTAATTATTTTATATCTAAATTAAGGTGCAACATGCACCATGGATGGTCAATAGCAAATATATCATTGTCCTACTTTAAGGGGACAATCCCAAGACAAACATACACACATGATGATTTAACACAAATCATCATGTGTGGAGTTGTTTTGAACCCATTGAACCCATGACCCTGGGATTGGAAAACAAGCATCTTAACCACCAAGCTATTCAACTTCCCTCAAGCTACAGTATCCAATTCCACTCCATGATAATAATAATAACATATAATAGTAATAAATAATGTCTAAAAATAAAATGGTTTCTATTGAACACTGTGATTGAACATTTGAACTATTTATTAATGGCAGAAGAGACGTACCCGTAGGCAGGGGCTTCATTCATGTGGTCTCTCTTCAGCCAAGTGTATATAAGTAGGTACCTAGTAGTACTGTAGCTTCAAATAACAATTTGCTGATTACTGTTACTATAACGTTGCATTTTTTTTAGGAAAAATTCAAAATTGAGTTTTTGGTGTTTTTAGATTCTGGGAGTAGTCTTCTTTAAAACAGTGTTTATTGTTGGAAATTGGTTGAATATTAGCAAAGCTATGAATATATATTTCATTGGATATCAGTCATGTAGGTTTTGAGAAAACAGCTTCCTAAGATTCCAAAATCAATAGTTTATTATTAAGATTTGTATTTTAAAAATAATTTTAATATACTTTTCAGTTACTGTAGATTTAATTGATATTCTACAGAAATGTTCTTCAATATATCATCTTTTATAAATGTTTAAAGTTCAG